CTTCGTCCGCCGCGGATCCCGCTCCCGTCTCTCTTTTACTTTGGAGCTTTTGGGGCCGGCCTTGTGGCCCCGCAGCTCCTTCCCCCACAGCATGTCGAGGCGTACTACCTCGACAGCCGCAACCCTGGGGCCGGATGGCTCACCTGAGGGCCCAGGCTGATGGTCGCCTGTCCCGCCATCCTGCGCACCCTGCGCGGCCGCCGCGTGTGTTCGCGGTTGCGCGCTCGCCTCCTCCTCTTCTCCTCCCTCCACGCCCTCAGCAAAAAAAAGAAGGGGTTTTTTTGTTCAGCCATTTGAGTCTGATCCCCACACCGCGCGAGGCTCCGCCGACCGGGGTATACCCCCACCGGGCCACACCGACCGCGAGACATGACCACGGACGCCGGTGCAGCCCGGGCCCCCGAGTCCTCCCGGGGGAGTCGGCATATGCCACAGGGCGGGGGGATGCCGCACCCCGCCACTGGGCTCCAGCCCCCTACTCACCCCCACGCTCAATGCGTGGGGGTTTTCAGGGGTTCCGCAGCTCCGACCCTGCGGACACCTCGCGCGGGCTTGCCAAGGCCGGGGGGTCCCACGGACGGGCGGAAGTGTCGAGGGAAGCCCTCCCCCCCTTCACCCCGACCCGCCGCGGCGACCAGCGTGGTTGCGCCTTCCGCCGGGGGGTAGTCCGCGCTAGGAAACGCGGGCTATCGCGCGGGCCCCCCGGCACGGGGCGCGACAGGGGGCGTGACACCCCTGAGGCGCCCCTCGTCCGAGCAGGCTGCCGGGTCCGGGACACTGCCCGGGACCACGACAGCCCCCCGCCAGCGACCCCCCGGACCCTGCCTGGGAAACGTCCCAGCGGCTCCGGAGGGCCCCGTGCCGCCGAGCCCCACCTCGGAATACGTCCGAGCGGCCCCGGCGACACGTCCTCTCGACCCCGAGCCCCGACCCGGAAATAAGTTCCGGCGGCCCCGGAGCAGTGTTGCCAACTCCACTTCTGCCTGTCTACTAGATGATGTTTTAAATCCTACCAGAATCCTACTAGACAAAAAAATTTGAATTATTTGTTATGGCACTTGCAGACTAATGTATGTACAAACGCGACGCGCGATGTAAGAGACATTATACGATTGTGGTTTGGGTAAAATTTTATAAATAATAAAATACCAAAACGATAATAAATTGCACATATATATTCATATAACCATATATATTCACATATTGCACATATATATTCAGCTAACCATAATAAATTGCACATGAATATTCAGACTACCCTAGTAGCACAGTGCATTGACCAAACGTTGGTTAAACATTGGCCCAATATTTGGTTGTATTGGGCCAATGTTTAGCTAATGCACTGTGCTGTTAGGGTAGTTCGCAGAAAAAATAAAAAATAATCAAAAGGAGTCCAAGATAGGATCATCCTCATCTTGTGTAAATAAATCTTGCTGAAGTGGTTCCGACCTTTGAACATCGTCAAGTATCACTTCATCTGATGCAGACGTACGGGGTGTATATGCAGCAAGAGTGCCTATTTGGTCCAGTACTGATGTTGGGAATTGGTAGGTAGAGCAACACAAATTCAAGCTACGAAAGCCAGCACGAATTATGAGGATTGCTACCAAAGTTGAATCATCGAGCCTATTCCTGTGAGGTGATTTAACAATTTTCATTTGACTGAGTGCTCGTTCAATTTCTCCATTTGACCAAGGTAGCACTAGACACTTTATGGCAAAATTTACCAAATCCACAAAGGGATTTTCTCCAGCAGCATCCTTATACTGTAGGACCTCGACCCAGAAAGGTACAGTCATTTCTGTATTCTTCCATTCCACGAAAGAAATTTTCAACCACTGAAAGTCTATGTTGGTTATAATTTCTGGAGGCTCTTGCATGAGCTGTGCAAGCGGTATCACTGACGGTTTCACTGTGCGTAAACAACTTTCTGGAGCGAGAAGAGACACACTCTGAAGAACCTCTATGTTGTCTGGAAGTCGCAGCTGCAAGTTGCTTACTAGAGTTGCAACAAAACTGATGCATCTCAATCTGATGGCCATCTCGTCGTCAACATTGAGAAGTTTGCTGGAACGTGCTTGACGCATTTTTTCTTCAAACGTATAGCCAAGGTAAGGCTTTGGATGTAGGTGATTGTTTACGTTAACGGTGAGCAAATTTTCTTTGAGCCCAGAAACAACGATTCGCTTTGCTAGTCCTTGAATAAGAAGAGTCAAGGATTTCAAAAGCTTCACAGGATCGTTTCCATTTGTCTGGAAGACTTTATTCACCTAAAAAGAAAAGAAGATATATTTAATATAGACAGCTAGTACATATAATATGTATGCTTTGGTCAGGGAATTTTCAGGGAGAAGTTTTTTGTCAATATCGAATCAATGCCTCAATGAAATCTATGTTAATAACCCATCGATATTAAAAAAAGTCAATGTTAACGTAAATTGTGACATCAAATTGACAAAAAGATAAAAGAATTCTAACTAGAATACAAAACTTTGTTTACCTTCTGGGCTTCCTCGAGAATAGGTTGCAGAAACAACAAGTATAGTTCGTTGCGAACATCGGAATACATGTTGAAGAGAAGTTCAGCTGTGAAGCATTTGTCGTTCCCTTTCCACAATTCAAAATGCAAACGTAGCTCTAGCCATTGTTTTACGATGCGAGTAACTGCTTGGGAGATAGAGAGCCAGCGAGTATCAGCTACCTTAAGGATCTTAAGAGGATTATCTCCATCATTGAGAGTGTTATACAGGGCCTGGAAATGTCCTTGCCGATCAGCTGACCTAAAAATCCGCCGACATTGGTTATTACACTGCACCTACATCGAACCCAAAACTCAACACTCCAAAATCCAGATGCATATAGTTACAAGAAGTTCAAAGATCATGAAAACATTGCGTGCTTACTTGCCTCACTGAAATATATACTAACTGGAACGCGCGCTAGAGCTGAGTCGTGCGTACCGAGAGAGAGCATCGTCGAGTGGCGTCTGTCATTGTCTGGTTTATAGGGTGGTCGAGAGTGGGGACTGTACCTTTCCGTCCCCACTCTCGACCACCCTATAAACCAGACAATGACAGACGCCACT